AATCCTGTTGGGATACCTAGAATTGCCTGATAAGAGGGAAATAAATAATATAGAAGAAAATAACCATTCTATTCTCTAGGTATAACTTTGGCACATATCTGACATTAGAAATAGAAACTTATCTCTTATGAAATCATTTTATAGTTAACTGCAAAAATCTGTAGGTCTATTCATTTTCAGAAGTATACTTATGAAATTGAAGCTCCATGCTAGAGATAAAGTCTTTGTTGTATTAATAAAATGTTGGTGGATGTTGTAAAGTTTTTAATTTTTAACAGATTTCATTATCTGCCTCTCTTATGTGAATTTAATATTCTTTATTCCCTAAGTAATCAAATAGGAGGTCTATTATTACTTCTATAATTTCAATTTTTTTATTAAAAACCACCCTGGTGCATTTGTGTATGTATATTTTAATGAAATTAAAATTTAGGAACAAAACACTGTCATATGGATTCCACAAAATATCAAAGAAGATTGCATTAATTGTAATATGTACCTTTAAATAGAACTTTGGAAAAAACTTTCACATACTTTAGTCCATTCTATTCTTAGTGTAGGGCAACAAAACACATAAATAGAAGTCATATAATCACAAAACTAATAGAAACCCTTGAGGCCAGCTCCAGCCTTCCATCTTACAGATGAGAAAACTAAGATCCAAGGATGTTAAGTGAAATTTCCCCAGGTCTGCAGTTTTCCACTTTTTCCATTACCTTTTCTGCTCCATACTACCTGTGTTATCCGCACTTTTCAGGTAATATAATTGAAGTTCCTCATCCAGAGCCTCACAGACCTTCAGTGAACTGGACCCCAGATCTTTGCCTTCTAACACCATTTTATTCTACTCTCCAGTGCACATCCTGATGTTAATCTCTGCTGCTTAAAGAACCATTCCCATCTTATTTCTAGCTTTCAGAAGAAAAATATTTCCATTCATTTTACAAGGTGCTAAAAAATCCTGCAAATATATGGTAACATCCTCAGGATTATTAATAACAGGCTCAGGAAATGGAATAAAGATTGTGATATTTTTTAACTATTTCTACAAGTTACATAGTATGTGCTTAGTAAATACTGGATGAATTGAATGGGAGAGAAAAGAGTAGAGGTAAGAGATTATATTGTTTTTTCTTTGAGGACTGAAGACCATTGCTATGTTTTATAGAACTCTACAGTTCCAGCAAACAGAGGATATGCTTAACAACTAGGAAAACCTGAAAACTAAATCCAACTTTACCACTTAACAAGTTTTGTGGCCTTGAGAAAGTTACTAACTTTCCTGAACCATAATTTTCTTTTCGGTAAATAACCATCTACCTTACAGAGATTTTATGTGGATTAAATTAGACAATGTATGTATAGAGTCAGGCACACAACAAACACCCAACAATTTACCCTTCCTCGCCCTAGATGTCTGTCTAGGAGGGACTGCTAGTAGCCTGCTGCTCTGCTCTGTTTGAGAGTCAGAGTATTAAAATCAAGCTGGGCTGTGTCTGGATATTTCAGCATTATTGGAACAGCCCTGGAAACTTGACTAACACACAGGGTGTCACAGCTTTGTATCACTGGCATGTGCCACACGTGCAGCAGGTTGTGTAGTGATATAATTTTCCTTTTTCTTTTTTCTTTAACAGTTTGCTGATGCTAGACATGGCATTAAAAAAGGAAACACATAGGTGAAGGGGCTTTTGTCTAGTGAAACTTGACTGTTTTAAAAAACACTTTCTATAATAACATGCTATGGAACAATATTTAGTTTACTAAGTGGCCTTGCGTATTTTGCAGAGTAAATATTTAAAATCGTAAAGCTTCTGTGGCTTTAATATATACAAATGATATTACAGAATTCTTTCTCAGAATCATTGGTCAAATTTGCCCCCACACTCTCCACCTTTCCAAAACTTACAGTGTCCTAAAATCAGTGGTAATATACTGGAAAGCTATAACACGTTGGTGGATCCAGAAATTTATGTCTCATAAATTTAAAAACAGATTCTTTAACACCTGATGCTTTTGATTTCTTTTATGAAATTCATGATATATGTGGGTTTACTATAAAATCTTTTATATTTAGCATTTGAGATAGATTTTTAACCAGGTTTTCAGATTACCCTTTGAACACGAATAAAATAGAATGATAAAATCCCTTTGTTGAAAAAAGTACAATGAATATTCAAAATAGCATTATTGTAAAAATAGCATTCGCCTGTGCCCATAGCTCATGCCTATGCTATACTTGGAAACTAGTGGTTCATAGAGTTCAACCCTCTTGGTACCCTGATAATAAGTTCAATCAATCTGATCAAGACTTTCCCAGCCTGTGAATTTATCAAGGTTAAACAAAGCCTTTGAAAAAATGAGCCCTCCTCCCTTCTCCCAAACATGCATATACTGTAGCCTAGAATTACTTGCACAGTGACTTTTATAATAAAAGGTTCAGGGGGTGAAGTGTGATAAGGAAGTTGGAGAAAGACTAGAGAACAATAGCATTTCAATCAATACTATTAAACATGAGAAACAGCGTTTTCGTAACATGAATAATAGCAGTTATTTCCAGATGTTTAAAAAGTGAAGTCTCCAGGATCTACTACAATTTTGATTAAATTTCTCATAGAAGAAACTACTAAAAGAAAAAAAGGAAAGAAACAGAATGTTAAAGATTAACAGAATAATTTATTAAGGGAATTAATGTGTCAAATAATACCAGGTCTTCAGAAAATTATTGTTTCAAGCTGGATGGTCTTTTAATTGATCAAAACAAGGATTGCAGTTGTGTTATATGTTTATTGTATGTCTGTATGTGTATGTCTATATCTAGACCTCTATGTCCTCAGATATACTATCTGCTGGGTTAATGAGGATAACCCAGAATTGACTTGTTAAAGCATGTACAAATCTTTAACATCCTTTGACTTTAAAGAAAAAATTGTATTTATGTTCTTTAACAAATAGTGGCTGGCTAACTATAAAGTCAAGAATTTGCAGAGGAAATAATCTTCTGCTAAGAGTTAGAATTTAATATTTATCAGTAGTCAGTGAAGGACCAGGTACTCCACACTGTCTTTTTAAAAAAATTAATAAGGAAAAATGATACAATCATGCTATTTTCAGATATCATTGGATATTTAGATTTTCTGGAGAAAGTAGTTTGAATCATCTGGGCCAAACAGTGAGAGGAAGAATGAAGCTACATAAATAGCCAATAAACATATAATTTTAGCTTCAAATCACACTGCAAACATACATATTTTGGCATAAAAGAATTATAGAATAATAAAATCCAAAACTATAAAGCTAATGTCCAGGTAATTATTTTTGATATCTCAATGTCATATATTTCTTTTCAAATTACAACCCCCATCAGATACTTTTTGAATTAAAAATAAGACACATCATGCACACACACACACACACACACACACATGCACACACTCACACACCCACAATGGCCTATCTGAAATCTTTTATGTTGCTTTAATGTGTTAAATTTTTGTTCACATCTAAAATCTTCTGTGTTACTTTAATATATTAAAATTTTGTTCCGTTCTAAGCAGTAATTTTTAACTGTCAAAGCAATATAATTCATGGAAAGAGAAATCACTTATAGTTACTACCTTAACAAATTTTTGCATGAGATTTAGGTTATAGAAGTTTTATTGTTTTTGCACTGAGTTTTCTCACTTTGATTTCCGCAAATGTATTTTGCGCATTTTACATTCACTAAAAGTACACTTTGGGAGTTCACTCTAACATTTGGAGCTTATTCCCTATAGACACATTCTTTGAGCATTCTATGCAGAAAGGATTTGATTGTTCATACTGTATGTTATCTTTTCTTGATCCTATTACTCTGGCCTGTACAGGCATTCAGTGGAACCCAGGAAGAGAGTACAGACAGCTGACTGGATGAAGAAGACATTGGGGGAAAAAACTCCCATTGTTTAGATTTCTGTCAGAGGATATAAGAATACTTAATTTCTTTTATCTCTAGGGCTTTCATTATCATTTAAATTTCATTTTACATTAATTGATCAGGGATTAGTAAAGCCATTATGCAGAAATTAGAATAAGACAAGCCAGATGGAATGAATAATTCATGAAGTCCAATTACGTTTTATTTCTGGTGTACTTTCAAACTTGCCTCTGACTTCTGTGCTATTTTGATGTGACAATATTCACTGGAAATCAAGAGTGCCATTTTAATTTATTGTATCCCTCTGGAGTGGAAGCATTTGCATGCAGTGGGGGTATGCTAACTCATTTCCCCCCAGAACATCAATTTTAGGGATCTTGGAAATACTGGGTGATCTAGAAAATATGGTTCATTTTCTATGGGCACAGCAATGAGCCACATTAGCCTACCTGATTTGGGTGAACTGTCCCCATGTAGAGAAACTAGTTTCTTAGGACCGCGAACTTTGCACCTCCTGGAAGAGCTGTAATCCCCTTTAAAATATTTGTCCCCAGTCCTGCCTCAAAGGAACCGTTAAAATATGAATTTGGTCTAGAGTTGGGCTGGAAACAGCCGCAGCCGTTGCAGCTACAGAGGAGGACCACGAGGTGGCAGGGGCTGCCTTCATTGCGAAGGGTTCGGGCGACCGGGACCGCCGGGGCTTCGGAGCATCCCCTTGTGTCTGAGCCGGGCGGATCACGGCTGGGGTTTAGGCTCCGGGCGTCTCGCAAAGCGTTGCCCGGCGAGAATTCCCAACTAATGGGCAGTCCCGTCCACCTGTCTGGAATGTCTCATGCGACTGTGTCTGAAACCGCCTCCCCCCGCCCGTCCAGGCCCCCAGCCCCTCCAGACCCCCCCCTCCGGTATTTATTTATGCCACTGGACAGTTCTAGTCACATTAAAGCTCCGGTTCACCTTCTCAAGGACTTTCATCTCGGGAAGTTTTATGACACTTTGTGAATGTGCAAAGTTTTTAATTAGGCTCTCTAGACAGCCCGAGGCAGCAGCAGCGCCACAAAGTCTTCACGGTCTCTCTGCTTTACAGCACAACAAGCCGCTCTACTCCTTTGAAGACAATGCAGACTATGTGTACGATGTCATGTGGTCCCCCGTGCATCCCGCGCTCTTTGCCTGCGTGGACGGGATGGGGCGCTTGGACCTCTGGAACCTCAACAATGACACCGAGGTGAGCGGCGGCTCAGGCGCCCGGGCCGGAGGGCTGGGAGGGGGGCGCCGTCGGCCGCTCGCAGTCTCTCCGTCTTTCTCCAAAACGGCCTTTTTTTGGACAGACCCTCCAGTTGTAGCAGGGCTGCTGGCCTCCCGTTCTTGACTACTCTGAAGGGAATTGGCAGATGCATTGGCCCCAGATCACTTAATCCCACTTCAGCTTAAACTGTGGCAGATCCTGGACAATTAACGACCCCTTTTTTGCAAAGAGCAAAACGATACGTGTTCACGCCTTTCCCAATGGGGAAGGACACACAGGCGTTTTTCAGAGCCGTGTTGAAATAACTTTATTGGCAAACACTTGGAAAAGTAAGCTTTTGTGGATACTGATTTTAGATTGGGCTTTTAAAAAGGGCTATTTTGTCAATGTTTGCTATTTGCACGATTTCTGTTTTGAATATATGAAAGGTGATTCTTTGAGTATTTTATGTTTAGCTCTTTTATCCATTTGCTTTTTACCAAGGTAAATATTCCCTGTCTAAGATATTGAACTCAAAGGCAGATTTTAACAATAGTCTCTAACTTTGAACATGTATATCCAACTCAGTATTTTTTTTTTAAAGATTTTAACATGTCACATTTAGAGTAGTCCACAAGTGAAAATACCCATTTTAAAAAAAAAAAAAACAGTTGATTAAATAAACATTCTGTTTTAAAAGCGTGCTATAAAAATTTATATTTTAAAAATTATGCCATGTGCATTTTTCCTTGTTTCCACTCTCTCAGAATTATTGAGGTGCTAATTCAGCTACTTTGTTTTTTTTTTTTCTTCTGTTTTGGGGAGCTTAACCTAAATATTAAATGTCCTTCAATTTTATAAAATAAGATAGTCTCTGCATCATTTCCTGGTTTCTGATTCAGTGAAGTTCTCCATAAATAAGAATGGACAGGTAAGAGGAACAAGTGCTGAAAACTATATGTCAAGTGGAGAACAACAGAAAGGTCTTTTGAAGTGTTTTGAGCAGGAAACAGCTCAGCCTTTTTAATTAGGAAGCCCACAGCTGGAGGACATGAGGAGGAGTGGACTTCCCTAGTATTTTTTTTTTTTTTTGTGGGAGGGGGCAGGGAAATATTCCTCAGGTGTTATTATAGAGTCATTGTATCTTCAAGGACATATACACCTATCTTTTAATAATCTTTCAATTTAAGTCTCTTTCTCCTTTTAGCTATAAGAACTATATGACAAAGATAAGAGTTATGTAATGAAGTATCTTTGAAAATAATCAAAAGGCATGAATATGTGAAATGCCCATGATTTTGGATGTTGAAATGTTTATAACATTATTGCTTTTACTAGAAAGATGTTATTACTCTACATTGTAAGCATTTCCCAAAGTCTTTCATCACTGTTGATTAAAATCATATTGCTTCTGTTTGCTAAGAAACTCACTTAAAGCAACCCAAAAAACCAACGTTTCCTGGATTGACTTAGGAGACCTCTGTATTACAAATCAGGCTTACTTGAGGTGATGTTTAGGTGATAGGCAACTACAATGCGTGGGAAGGAAGTGAATGTTCCACAAATTCCTTAATAATTCCTATGTAACTGTTTTTTTTTTTCAGTCTGTTTTTTAGATAAAATGAAAGTAATACTTCAACATTGTCAAACGTAATTTTTTCCCTCTGCTTTCTCTAGGTATCAAGAGACATCCTCATGAGAGTTTTATAGCTAAACACTTTTTAAAAAATCAATATTGGTCATGCAAACTGCTTAGTTTTGTGGTAAACATGACTCTGCTTTCACAGTAATAGTAGAGAGATAGTGAATCTGACTTAAATCCAGTAATGAACTGAACACTTTAAAATCTTCAAATGATTTTTGCCTTCTAGAAATTTGAACAAGATTTTTCAAATATTTTTCAGATTAAGAATTAGATTTGTTAAAAGAAAAAAACCCGAAAACTAAATTCCCAGTGCAGCAATGTGTTTTGTTGTTATTGTTCAAATTACAATGTTTTAGACCAGGTTTTCCCTATGCAAGGATAGTTCACATTTATCTACCTCAGTATTACCAATTTCTACTGCTTAATGTAATAATTTATGCTATATATACATACGTGTGTGTGTATGTATGTATTTTGTCTTTGTAATTAAAATGGTAGAGCCATGAAGGCTGAAAATATTTGCAAAACCAAAGAGAAGGAGACAGAAAATACATGAATTATTTTTATCATAGATTCATCAGTTTTGAAAGGTCATTACTGATCAAATTAATAGAAATATATTTTGTCAATTCCTTCATGCATTCATTAATTTTTAGCACATAATATAGGCTGTGATAGTTATTTTCTGCTATTTATAATATCTATGAAAAGAGTATTTTAAAAGGCTTAAAATATTGTTTCAGTTTTCAATAGTACTTACATTTCAAATAAATAAAATTCTTAAAAATGTATTAGGCATTATTTTAAATGTCAAAAGATCACCTTCTTTTCAGGATTAATTTTTCGTTTCATTTATATTAAGATTAAACATTTTATTTAATTTTTAAGATTGTTCATAGATAAAATCTGATACTGAATAGAATTAGGTAATAGAATTAGGTAAGCATCCTGTATGATCCTTCTAAATTATGGTGTTAAAAATTAGCTCTGAAGACTGTAGCTGAATCACAGATTTGTTTTCTGAGCAGCACAATAATAATAAAGTGTATTGACAGAATTATGGTCCATCTAAATTCACATTGTTTCAGCCTTTGAAAGGTTTGGTTAAGAATTCAGACTCTAGCCTGCACAGCAGGTACCTTTGTTGTAGAAATTGTATATTTTTAAAAAATAAATGAGCCAGGGACTTTTGGGAGTTTTTTTGTTCACAATTGACATACAGTGATTTAAGCGGGTGAAAGAATTTTTATTGATTTCAAGATTAAGTTTAAACATAGATTCTTACATATGATGGAGTTTTTATTGCTATTTTAAAGATAGGTATTGGGTCAATAATTTCGTATAAACAGATGGTTTCAATTCCCTGAATAACAGAATGCCAGGCGTGCTAAGTCACAGTACATGTTGTGTTCCCATCCTAATGCGACATGTTTATTAGACAGGTCTTAAACAGTGGTATGAGATGATCTTGGTGGCCCTCTTTTCACCATTTTTTTTTCTTTTTGTTTTAACATTTATCTTTTTCTTTCTTAATGGGATGTTGTCATTTCCTATTCAACATTCTTATAGAAAGCTCAGATCTCATCTTCCAACCTTGAAAATAAGAATTTACACAACGAATGATGGAAAAGAGGTAGACATACTAAAATTTCATTTTCCAAATACTAAGGTTCTTATAAATACCATAGGTTCCATTTCAGTGCCTCTAGTTCATTGTAATAATAATTATTATTATAATTATCAGTGTTTTTAGGTTTGGAATGTTTATAAAGAAGATATAAGGCGTTTTCTAAGAGTAGGTGGCTCCATTCTATCAAGATACCACCCTGGGGACATTGTCAAAATTATGGATTGCCTGCCACACCTCACCCTGGTACTTCCAGGCAGAGGAAAACAGAAAAAAAGAAAAGAAAGAAAGAAGGAAAAAAAGAAGGAGAATTTGAGGGTTTTGAAGTTTTTTACCTGCATGCCTTCTTTTCTTCTTGTGATCATTTCCTCCCCATGAAGTTTGGAAGGATCAATACCTACATTAATTTTTCCCTGAAGACTCATATTAATATGACTTTTATTCCACCATACACTCCCCTTTCTGCCTTTTATAATATCCTTAACTTTGATAAATCCTGAAATCTACTAATCCATAAAGCACGACCTGATGGTGAAGTATCCTATTTAGCTGCTGTGTTTGTATGTTGAGTGTACACCTGGCATAATCCAAAGAAATATTTGTCACTCGCTGCCCAGTGACTGTGGAAAAAGACTCTCCCTCTTCTCCTTTTTTGTTAAAATGTCTCTTCTCTCTACCCCTTAATTCAGTGGAGCATATGATTTAAGAACAATGAATCCTTTTCACCCCTGCACAAGGGATGTATATTACTTCATGCACATGAAGGCAGTGGTGACTCATGCAGTTAAACTTATCATTGTCAATTAGTATATTTAAATTTATATTCACAGATTCTTTTTTTCTGCTGTAACCGTTTTGGCAGGTTCCAACAGCAAGTGTGGCCATTGAGGGGGCGTCTGCCCTAAACCGTGTTCGTTGGGCTCAAGCTGGCAAGGAAGTTGCTGTTGGAGACTCAGAAGGCCGTATTTGGATCTACGATGTTGGAGAGGTACATGTTTGTTTGTGCTGTTGTTTTGACTTGTGTATCTACTTTAAAGACCTAGTGAAATTATTGACAAGACCTTGTGGGCTGCAAGAACCCTCTCTAGTGTGTTTGCAAATTTCCATTGACTTCAGTGGGAGTTTGGTGAGACTTCCTTAGGGCCTAATTTGATCTTCTGTCTCCATGCACAGGACACTTTATTAATAATCCAAGGCTCCTTTTAGAGTGCTGTAGAATTCTCAACTGTCTTGTGATGAAACATGGACTTCCCACCAATTTCATAAGAATGAAAAGTTTGCCAAATTTACCATGCTAAAATTGAATTTGGAATTTGTTACTTACTTGAAAAGTCAAGTTTAAACTAATGTGCTCAATTAAAATGTATACTATTTCTCTTTAATTAAAGTGTAGCCAATTAAGAAAACTGAGATTAATCATCATTTTGTACCATTTTCATGATATTCAAAGTCATTATGTGAGATATATAACTCTTCAGTATGTCTTATTACATGATATGTGAAGTGTTCTTGAATATCATGGCACTTGTCAAAGAAAAAGAAACCTACATCTTGTATTTCCAACATCTTCTTGAATTTTATACTATATTTAATATTACATTATCAATTAATTATACTTAAGCTTATCTGTTTATTTTCACTATATGAGAACATGTTGACAAAAGCCTTCATTTCTGATGAGGTTAAAAGATTTTTTCCTTAAAGACAAAAAAATATTGAACTTTCAAGTGTTATGTTATATAATGCTATTTTGGCATAATATGAATCTAACATTGGCATTCCAGGGGCAAAATATACCACATTTGTATGCATAGCATCCTAGACCTACAAAGGACTCTGTGAGTGCCTGGTGGACGGGTTTAGCTGATCACTCTGAGAAGGGTTCTTTATGGTTTCATCAATCAGCATTCTATAAATTTGGCAATCCTAGATGGGTTGTTCTACAATGGAACTTTTGATGACATATTATATACTGCTATATAGTACAGTTGATTATGTTGAAACAAGCTAGCTGGTGTTTTAAAATTCAGCCAGGGACAGAAACTGAATGACTTTAGAGATGGGAGTTTTCTATTCTGGATGCACAATTCTAAGTTAAAAAACAATTTCTTTACTGCATGTTATCTATTTCATTAGACACCCCCTTGACTAGTCCTGATGCCACAAGCAGGATCCTTACAACAGTGACAAAGACTCTGTTAATATATTGACCCCGATGGTGAAGATGCAAAGGGTCTGGTGACTATTGACATAGTTTAGAGTCTTTGGGAAAAAGAATACTCTCTGAGTCAGAAATACTACCAATAGTTTAACTGCAGTATTATCTTCAATGAGTATTCTTTATATTTAATGTATCTTTCTCATGGTCTTTATCAAAATAAAACTATTAAACAGCAATAACAAAAACAAATATTCTTTATCAGGTCATTCCCTAAAAAATAAGACAGCAAAGGAGAATGTAAAAAAATAAACAAAATTTCTTTCTTTTTCTTTGTTTTTTTTCCCTTTCTTTAGTTGGTTTACAACAAGTGTGATTGTGGGAGAGAAATAGACATAAAGACGTGCTCAGAGATGAAATGGCAGAAAATAGATAAAATTTAAAAATTCTTTTCTCTACCTCCCTTGCCTATGCATTATGTCCCTTCGCACTCTTAGGATTATATGCAACATTAATTATTTTAACCCCCTTTCTTGTATTCTAACAGGGCTGAAAAATAGACATAAAGACGTGCTCAGAGATGAAATGGCAGAAAATAGATAAAATTTAAAAATTCTTTTCTCTACCTCCCTTGCCTATGCATTATGTCCCTTCGCACTCTTAGGATTATATGCAACATTAATTATTTTAACCCCCTTTCTTGTGTTCTAACAGGGCTGAAAAATATCATAGTTTAAAAATCTAGTTTTTTTAAAAAAGGGGCTTTTTGAAAAATCTTTGTTAACTTTAATATTGTGTATGTACATACATATACATGCATACACATACATTCACATATACCATCTCTGTGCAATAAGGAAACACGATGTGACATATATACAGAATTTTCTGCAATAAAGTGATTTTATAGCTTATGGACAGAATTACTTGAATATGACTCATATCTTGGGAGTCTATGTGATTTTACAAAAGTTGCTTTGGCTGATATGTGGCTGCTAAAATTTCTTTCTAGGATGCTATCATCATTTCTAAATTGTAAAGTGTTGTTATACTCATATTTCTACTATCGCACTGGCAGGTCAGGCTGGTTTTCATTTTTGCGTTATTGCCCTTACTTTTCTAAGTGATATTACAGACTATAGAAATGTCTGCAACTATAGGCCAGTCTCGCCTATTGTCTGGAGTCTAGACAGCTATAGAAAAATCTCTGTGACATATAATAGGCCTATTTGTAGGGTTGTTTATCCCTACAAATTCACTACCAAGAAAAAAAAAAGGATATACTATTTTATTGAGAGTAGGTAATATTACAATCTTCTAGCCCTTCACTGAATGACCAAAAATCAGGATAGACTTATACACTTGAACAATTCTTTCTGTGTTGTTTGATCATATACAAAGCAAACTCAGAAAAACTCAGACTTAACAAAATAATTTTGTCTTAACTGTAGTTTTTTCCTAAGTATTTTTGTAAGGTATATATTTTTGGGGGGTGAAGGGGACTTTTCTGTTTCTCATTTCTCACCTCTATGCCTTATTCTAAATCACTGAAGACTAAGTCTGTAGAGACACCATGTTAGTAAAAGGGAAAAAATAACTTCCCTATAGCTGAGGCTTAGCACAGCCCATTTCTGAGAGAAGGTACATCCCTTCAAAGGCAAATGCTGCCATTATTGTAATTACTGTAGTATTGTTCACCAGCCTAGAACTGACAGAGCATAACTGTGCTTAGAAGCGAAGGGCACCCTAGTGCCTCTCCAGCCTTCCAAATCACCTAAACTGCTGAAAGCCGGATGGAGTGCTTTCACGGCAAGCTGGCCCATTTGGAATTAGAGGTCAAATCCAAGGCTGGTGCATGACTGACGAGAGGGAAGGTGTCTGAGCAGGAAGCGATTTAAGAAGAATAAAATATGGCATTGAGGACCAAATTGCCAGTAGGCTGTGCTAACATTGTAAGTATTTCAAATTGGTTCTCTGGTCCCTGTTAAAACTGACCTCCTCACCAGGGTCATGCTGGCCTTTGGATGGAACACCTTGCTTTATGGAACCCTCTAGCAAGAAGATGAAACACTTTTAGATGAGCCTTATAATACAATCTGTATAAAAAAGTGAATGGTAGTTTTTAGAGGACACCATGTTGTTTCATTTTCCTCAGTACATTGAATCGATGTCTGTAGGAAGACATCTCCCATTCATTCTCCCAGCGTTGACTTGACTGACACCTCCATTAGGCTGGAGAGAAAGGAAGGGCGGTAGGCTATCTTTGCCAAGGCCCTATTCCACAAGTGAGGCTGGCTCCCTAGGTGTGTGACCTAGGTGCAGCTACATGGGGTCTCGTGCTTAGGGGAGCCCTGGGCTTGGGTTGACACTTTGCTGTCATTGTCTTGCAATTGTTAAAACTTTTTCAACAAAAGGCTCCACATTTTCATTTTTTGCTGGGCCCTGCAAAAAATGGACAGCCAACCCTGTCCATGAGAGTACTGCTCTTAATGCCACTCACAAGGTGATTCGGAAATGAAAAATTAGGGCCTTAACCTAGATCATTGGGAAGAAGGGGAAATCTCTAGAAATGTGGTTAAACATAGTACGTGCCATATAAAACTATTTAAAAATGCCAAATGAGAACAGAAACAATTCTGCATTATAAACATCATGAGGCTCATAAAAATAGAGCTGAAGCCATAGTGGAGATTGTTATTCACCTCCTCATAGCCCTGTTTTGATCATTTTAATTGTAATTTTAACTGAAAATATAATTTGGGGAAAGATCTCTGTGACGCCTACTCCAGTTAGGGTGGAGTGAGACAGGGTTTCTCTGTCCACGCCATTGTCAAGCACTCCCTGAGGAGAGACTTCTGCAACTACCAACGGAGACGTCCCCATTCAGGCCCAGGTAGACTTGCCTTCCTGTGAGACCTGGCACTGAATGAGAATGGCGCTGCAGAAAGTGACTCTGGTGTCACCAGTCACTAACAATCATCTGCCTCATCTCCTGTCCCAGCTGAGGCTGCAGCTGCCACAGGGAGTCACAGCACAGTGCCCCTAAGACTGTGCCCTCCTCTATTATGTACAATTATCCTCCATGACTTTTACGATGATGGCAGAGAGCGGTAGCTGGAATCCTGATTTACTGATGCAATTTATTATGAACTTCTGAAGGGATAAACAGAGGATTGTGTATGCATTCACTGCAATCACCAGATTGAGTTTGTCCATCTACCCCTTTTTTTCTTTTTGTTACATTTAAATGGCAAAGGTATGAGTAATATCTCCAGGCCTATGAGTCAAGAGGTAAAATAGAAAACAGCAATGTCTTCAGGTAGGCCACATGATGCTGTGTTTATATAGCACACATTTTTGGTTGTTTGATTTCAGGATTATATCTGGAAAATGTACACATTTATTTTCGCAGATAGGGGTCTATTTTCTTTGCAGAGCAGGTGCTTAACTCCCATTAGCATAAATGGAAGTTATTCAAATCCAACAAAAGACAGAGAAGACCCCTTTTATTGTTTGGTTGTAATTTTTATTCTAGTCGTGCATTCAAAAGTTACTTAAATAGACAGTGGTTGCGTGCCCCATTGAAATTTTCTGAGATCCACAATGAAACATGACCCTAGCTCTTGAATAAGTTTTGAGAAATCTCCAAACTGTGGAATGCAATCTGTTTTGGCTTATGGGAGGTATCCCATTCAATTAAGTGAAACATGGGTAAGATAACAAGTCATAAATGAACTATAAATATACCTGAAAGAGAGAGCTGTTAATCATTGTTGGATTTTTTTTTTTTCCAAATGATGTGTGAACACACATTTTAAAGAATTAAAAAC